AAATAACTCCTTTACTTTACCAAAATGAATCACTACAAAATTTCTTCATTTACTGGGTTTTCCCTATACACTGAAATTATATCCTGATGTATATGAAAGAGCCTACACTTCATAAAGAAGATCAGACACATGTACTATAAATAATTCATTCATTGCTTTGTATGGAAGCTCATCACTGGTAGAAATTTTGTATCTAACCATTCTCTGAATCACTTCTTATTTCTATCAATAGTCATCGACTTTATGCTGGCAGTTTAAACTATATTCCGGGAAATTTGCAAAAAAGCAAATTAGAAATAAAATTACTACATTGACTTTATTATTGTGATTAGCAGTATTTTCTTTATATGAAATAATTCTATAAATAGTATTATTGTTCCCAGCCAATGTACCAGTTATTCTCTATTTTTGAATAAAGCAACATCTAACTATCCATTCAGGAATCCATCTTCTTCCTTTCCAAAAGTGGTTTAAGGTGAGAAAGTACCCACTTATGTGCAAAGAAAAGAAACTGAGCTGCTGTCTTACCTATTATTCCAACATTAAGCAAAAATCATCCTTGTGCATTCAACATTCAAATTCTCTCTGCCCTGTGTCTCATCTAAGTTTCCAATCACTCACTAGGACAAGACATCATGATATGAGAGAAGGAAATAAACAGTTGTGAAAATATGTATACAACATGTTCTTCTGCCTTTTTTTTTTTTTTTTTAAACTACAGATACAGTCCTGCTATTCATTCTTTAGCTTCTGAATACTTTAGGCTGTATTCCCAAATAAAATATTACATAAAGCAAGTCACTGGAGGATAATCTGAAATGTTTGTTGTTAAGTGCTATCGAGTCAATTTCGACCCATAGCGACCCTGTAGAGGGTTTCCAAGGAGCAGCTGGTGAGCTTGAACCACCAACCTTGCAGTTCAAATGGCTTTGCAGTCTGACGCATTAGTCCACAGAGCCACACCAGGACCCTTGTGTTAGGTTAGGGTTAACCAAATAAAAATAATTTTAGAATTGCTGTGAAAGGAAAATGGGACTGACACCAAAATTAATTTGGAAAAAGAAAAAGGGAACTATAAACCTGAAATCACAGTAAAATTAAAGCAGGGCACAAATCAAATTCACTGGGCAAGTAAGCTTCATATAGAAGTTCATGGAAAGATTTTATTATTGTTTCGTTCTACTTTTCCACAAACTTTTTGAAGGCCCTCGTATGAGAAATACAACTGCAATCAACTTTTATGTCAGTGAGCTGAGTGAATACTCAAGTGATTGTGCTTACTATTACAACTTAGAAGTTTAGAAAGAAATGACAAATATCCACTGGGAATCAGTCTCCCTCCACTAGCAGACCTCTGTGAGTTTGCATGAGCTAGATCAATAAATTACTATCAACTCTTAAGTGAGAGCAGACATAATGAAAGGATTTCAATTTGTGGAATCATTGAGTTAAAAGACAATGGAATTTTTCCACAAATTTTTTGAAGGCCCCGCCCCCCAATTAAAATATAGACATGAGTGAACACAGGCTCCACCAATACAGAAGACTCAACACAAAGTCAAGAATAATGCTTTCAGTCTCACTCCTTAGCAATCCTCTAGCTTCATGGGACAAGTGAGGTGAATCACAGCAGTTACTCATCATCTGTTTCACACTTCACATTTCAATGTAAAATTGTCTGAAGAAAAGAATTGACAATCACTATATCCCATACAAGGAGCTCTGGTAGTGTAGTGGTTACAAATCAGGCTGTGAACCACAAGGTCAGCAGTTCGAAACTACCAGCTGTTCCGCGGGAGAAAGATGAGGCTTTCTGCTCCCGTAAAGATTTACAGCCTCGGAAACCCTGTACAGGGTCGCTATGAATTGGAACCGACTCCATGGCACATAACAACAACAACAATATCCCATACACAAGTTTAAGATTTATAAGGCAAAAAAAAAGTCTCTAGTAAAATAATCTCATAGCTTCAATTAATGTACACAGGCTGCTCATTAAAGGACTCCCCTGCCTCTTAGAAGTCACGGCCCTATAATCATGCCTACAATAACTCAGGTTTAATGGCACATAGACAGACACCAGGGAATTTTAATCAAAGCAAAATAATCACCCCACACACTCAGAAGTGTAGTTGCTTTCTAAATTGCTCAAACAAAAAACAGAAAAACTAATTATAGAAGATACTATATATCATCCATTAAGTAGCTAATATAATTTTTAAAATTAAAAGTACAATAAAATCTCATCAAAACATTGCTGAAAAGAGATTGACAAAATGGGATTAGAGTGAAAAAGAAAACAGTACTGTGATTTACCCAAAAGCAGTCTATACTAAAATCACAGAGTATACACTCGCTATTTATTTTGCATATGAAGATATATGCCCAATGATGTGTTTCCACACAAGCCAAATCATTCTTAATTAAACAGAAAAGATCAGACCCAAACAAGGGTCATGATATCTGGATTTTAAATACTGCTTTGTTCTTGGACCAATCAGTTGACCTTATTAGCCCTCTCTTCTCATGTACAAAATGAGGCAAACAGGCTATATAATTACAAAGCCTAAAGTTATTTTCAGTTATTTAAAAACAGATGATTAAGCCTGAGACTATTATTTTCCTGGTTGCATTGGGGAAAAAAAGAAGAAGCTGTGTAAAGAAAACAATTATAATGATAAGCACCATTTCCTAATCGAGTCCTGCCCACCAAGAGCCATATTTAAATCCCTACTTCCATAGTGCCATGGATCGCTCCCACTCCCTCCAGAGCCAAACAATAGTCCCAAGTGAAGCTGTTAGCCCCTGCACAACTATCTGTTAAAGTGACAAGTTAGCTCTGGAGCGACGCTAACTTCTTAAACTAAAAACTCTCACTGCTTTATAAGGAGACACGCCAACTAAACACCAAGCTACTGATGCGCTATAATAGACCGACTGTGACTAGGGAGTTCCTGACAGCCTGCACAAATTATTTCTAGTGTCCACCAGAACTTCAGCAGGTATAGATCAGCCTTCTGTATAAGTGGGGAAAACAAAATAACTACCTAACTGTCCTCAAGGCTATGATGGTGGTGGTGACATGCCGTGGAGTCAGTTCTGATTCATAGCAACCCTGCATAGGGTTTCTGAGGCTGTAAACCTTTAAGGGAGCAGAAAGCCTCATCAATCTGCAGAACGACTGGTGTTTTGAACTGCTGACCTTGAGGTTAGTAGCCCAACTCATAACCTCTACGCTACCAGAACTCAAACCTATAAGGATATTGAATATAGATCCGAACCCAGGTATGTCTCCAATCATTTCACTACATCATAAGGGGGCTTCAAAAAGCTCAAGGAACAATGAATGGAATGAAAAGAGAATCGAATTTTTTCAAACTTTTTCAAGTCCACTCATGTATGTTGTTCTCACAAAATCTATGCTGCCGTATGCACTATGTGAAGCAAGTGAGCCTGATGAATAAGTTAAAGAAAGTTTAATAAAATAAGGCATATAGACATACGTGTACGTCTGTATGCATACACAAGTGTATAGATATGTGCGTGTGTGTATACAGATGGGTCTGTAATAGATGCATATACAAAAATCAAACCCATTGCTAGTGAATCAATTCTGACTCACTGTGATCCTAATAGACACAGTAGAACTGCCACATGGGGTTTCTGAGATTGAGAATCTTTATAGAAGCAGACTTTATAGTTCATACATACAATAAACCAGATTTATTATATTATGAAAATATATGTGTACAAACATGGATACTTTTCAAACATCTTTGCAAGATTAACATACAGGCTCTGAAGGTTTACAGTCTCCTGGAACAAGTCAGTCAGGTGCCATAAAACAGTACGTAAGGCTTATGCTCTACATCCTGGTCTGGTGAGGAGTTTTCGGGGTCTTAAAAGCTTACAAACAGCCATCTAAGATACAACTATTGATCTCCACATGTCCACAGTAAAAAATAGTGAAGGAAACCAAAGACTGAAATTACTAAATTCCCAATGCTTCTCCTAACTTCAAGGAGCTCTGGCTGATGACCTCAAGGTCCGCAGTTCAAAACTACCAGCCGTTCTGCGGGAAAAAGATGAGGCTTTCTGCTCCCATAAAGATTTACAGCCTCAGAAACCCTGTACAGGGTCACACTATGAGTTGGAACCAACTCCGCGGTACTTAACAACAACATCCTAAGTTCATATATATTTTCTACCATTTTGCCTATAAAAGAAAAAAAAGGATTTTCCTATACACTGAAATATAATGTGATGTATATGAAAGAGTTTATATTTCATAAGGTATATTACAAATATTCATTAACTTTCAGGACTCTTAACTCTTGCTTTATCTGAAAACTTATCACTGAAGAAAATTTTATATCTAAGTGTTTCTGGAGTCTTAACAGACCTTCTCCTTATCAGTTTCCACATGCCCAGAGTAAAAACCAAAGCTTCAGAGAAAAAAACTAGTCCACATGACTAACAGCTACATGTATAGGGTTTCCAAGGAACAGGTGGTGAGTTTGAACCACCAACCTTGAGGTTAGCAATCCAGTTTCATATAATTTATTCATAAATTAAACTCACTATTATCTGTTGCCTCCAACAAAATGTAAGCCCCCAGAGGGGAGAGATCTTCGTTTTGTTCAATATTTCCTAAGGACACAGGACACAGCCTAGCCTGTAAGAGGTATGCAAAATTCTTGAAAGACTAACAAGCTTTGTCACCCCCTCCCATTGTTTTCTGATATTTGCTTGAGTCATCTCCCCTAATGCCTGGTAGCGGAGGTTACAAGAACATTAACTAACATACAACTTTTAATAGGATACCAGATCTTTCTAGGGTATCTGAATTACCAAAGTAATGTTATAGAGTATAGTAATATTGTTTAGAATATTTCACTCCACCCCCATAATGTCAGTGTAGGAGAAATAAGGGCAAGTATTTATAGCAGAAATAAAAAGTTTCCCAATTTAAAATTCACAATAATGAAAATTAAACTTACCTTTCCACAATCCATTCTGGTCGAATTACTTTCTCCCCCTTTAATTCTTTAATTTTGGCATTAGGAAGATTTGTGGCAATAATGTGAGTTGTTTTGGATCTGGAATAATACACATGGTATTGGCCTCCATGTAACATCATTAGCTTTCTCAATTCTTCAGCAGAAGGATCTGTAAAGTTAATATTAAAGTAGGTTAAGAGTTTTATGTATACACAGAGCCCTGGGATAACTCCCTTATAAGACCAAAGAATGTCTCACTGGGACACCATTCTCACTGGCTGTGCTGCAAGTAAACAGAGATTGGAGGTCAATGACAGAGTGGTACGTCTATACTGCCCTAGCACAGCCCGGGCCCCTGGCTACCATAGACAGACAGTAAACCAACACAAAAACATGTACTGCTCAAAGATGGCTAGTAGAGCAAACATGGGCCTCAAGGAATTCATCAAATACCAGTATCAAAGCTAACATTTACAACTTTTTTTAATACCATATTTAAGGCATGGCCTTGTTATCAGCGATGTATTTTAAAAATGAACAGTTATAAGTCCATTCATGGATCTCTTTACAAAAACTTTAATCCTTCATTTCTTTTGTAGCAATGAAACAGCTGTCAGATTTATAAATTGCTCATACTTACTATGAGCAGACTTAGTGTAGAGTTTAAAAGACTTTACTCCTATGAAGCTTATTAATTTGAATTTTGGCTTAAGAAAATGAATCTAACAGTTAAATCTTAATTAAGTTCCTTACAATGAAAATTCACCAAGGTCAAAAAACAAAAGTTTACCACCAGGATAACAATAATTATAAAAATTATGAACCAAGAAACACAGTTTTATAAATTGTTTCAAATTATTGTTTTTCTATACTTGCATTTCATTAAGAATAAAAAGCCTTCATAAGAATCAATGCTTTTTATGCTTTCCCATAAAAAGAAATTGCTGACTCACTGAAGTTATGTTATGACCAGCATTATTAGCATCACATTAGCTCATTATTTTCAAATAGCTTTTCTATTTCTTACTCCTACCATTTCTAGTGAAATCTCCAAATCCACTCCCTCCCGCCAACAACAGTTGTACCTAGGGGAGAGGTTTTCACGGGAGGCTTAGGTATCCACTTTGTTATTTAAGCAAGATAGATTTTCCTTAAGCCCAAACTATACAGGCCCCTCCAGTAATTCAGTCACGTTTTTTATTGTGACAATGTAATTAGGTGAGTTTTAGTCTTTATAGAAAGCCCATGATGTTAGGTTTGCCTAATTCTTGTAGCCTAGAATTCATTTGACATTGACAGAAACAATGTGAGCCAAAAGTGCACACATATGGCATTTGAAATTTTCTGGCAGACAATTGCAAAGAAGTGAAATTAATTTAATTACATCTTTTATTTAGCCCAATAGATCAAAATGTCATTTTAACATGTAGACACTATTTAAAATTGAGGTGTATTTAATGCATGCCATGTTAAGCACTTAAATTATGGCTTGTCAAATCAAACTGCATTAGAAACAAAAACATCTTTTTGGGGTGGGGGGAGTTTGTTTTGTTTTGACGTTTCACCCTCACTCCTATTTAAAAAAATCAAACAGCTAACTCAAATGCTGGCTACAAAAATACAGAATGTAGAAGTTCTGTTCCACTGTACATAAGTCAGACTACAGCTCTAGAGTGTCTTACTCTGCTCCTATGACTGTCTTGCTGAGTCACATGATAGCCTCTGAACAATTTCACTAGAGCAATGCAATACCCAAACAACACGAGAGTCCTCTACAGACCTCAAAACCAAGTCAAGCATTTACTACTGATACTTCTTTCTGTCATGTGCAAAATACTTAGATAACAAATTAAGAAACTGCTTTGCTTTAATGAGAAAGACAGATGGAATACATTTAAACCAGTGAATTTCAATTTTTTTTTTCTTCAAATGAATTCATACAGAAAATCCCCCTAAAATACCACACAAGTAAAAACCAAAAACTCAGACCCATTGCTGTCACCATGTTAACTGACTCATAGTGATCCTATGCAGGGTTTCCTTAAGTGTAAATCCTTGTAGCAAAAGCCTCATCTTTCTTTTTCTCTCAGAGTGGCAGGTGGGTTTGAACCACTGACCTTAATGGTTAGCAATTCAATGACAAAACCATATTTTCAAAGAACAGGGAATAATCTAGTTTGGGAGAAAATGTGGGGTAAATTATCTCAAGATTACAGTGAGATGAGAAGACATAATGCATTTTGGATATAGCCTCTGAAGTCTTAAGAGAAAAAAAATATGATCAGTGGGACACAGATTCCAATTTATGAAATAATGAAAACTATTTGAAAATGAGGAGTCCTGGTGTGGCACTGTGGGTTAATACGCCAGATTGCAAAAGCCATCTGGTCGGCGGTTCAAGCTCACCAGCTGCTCCTCGGAAACCCTATAAAGGGTCGCTATGGTTTGGAATCGACTCAACGGCACTTAACAACAATTTGAAAATGAACTGAGCTGCTTTCCAAGATAGTATATTATTGGAGTCATTTCAAGAGACTGAGAGGGTATCCATCTATTTTCCAAACATTAAAGAAGTAATTCTCAGATAAAGGATTAATATACCAAGCGACCAATTCTGATGCTATTGGGTTAATCCCTATAGGATTCATTTGAAACTAAAAGTGCCTCTCACCCCTAAGATTATGAATCTATGATTTAAAACAAGAGATAGCAATCTACAACCCACAAACCAAATCTAGCTAGCTCTTTAAAAATAAAGTGATGGTAGACAGGGATGGGCAACTTGGACACTGGCTACCCAAAATGGTGGGGGTGGAGGGGAGCGCTACAAAGGCATAAAGTGACAACTGGCTTACAAGCTTTCAAGAGGGAGCCTAGACCCAGGGGGCATGGAAGAAGGCAGAATCTCCGGTGAGTACTATCCAATCTGTCTAGGCGGAGCTGATGAAATGAAATACAGATGGGTCTCTTGTGTAACTGTTATCAGGACTGATTGTGAAGGTTGGAAATGTAAAGGTAGACGTTTTACAGCAAGGAAGGGATGGAATAACTTTTCAGTCTAGGAGTGGAGGTCCCTAGGACCATCAATGGAGAAGAGCCGAGAGCGGGACCCTACCCAGATAAGCAGCGATGCCTGAGATGGAGGCAGAGACGATGACGTGGAGAGATGGAGCAGCTGGGGACTTTAGATCCAGAGAGGGAGAGCGACTGAGGGGTTGGGTAGTGTAGGGGGCAGGCTTGCAGGGTATATCCTTTGGTTGGTTGATGATGCATGGAAGGGATTGGAACCATGGCAATGAAACGATATACAATAGAATGAAAGTAAAACTAATGTTCTCCCATGTAAACTATCATATAATTCACAATAAAGTTTTATTGGAACACAACTACTCTCAGCTGCTTATTGTTTCCAATTGCTTTGGGGCCTCAATGGCAGCCGTAAGTACAGGCAATGCCCGGGTGACAAACAAGATATGTTCCTGTCCTTAAGAATTTGTAGGGAAGCCCAACAGGTGTATTTGGTTCTTATTTAACCTTACTTTAGTGCAAAAAAAACCTGATTTAAAAGCTGCAAATGTAGCAAAAGGTGACTGTGATAAAGCATGTGCTGCAAATTCGTTTCAAAGCGGGGTTTCAAATCAGTCTTGCTTGTTCAGTCATGACCTCAGAAGCTCAAAGATGGCAGTGCCCCACTCAAAAATGGCAGCCAACTGCACAGCTCTGAAAATCTGCGGCTCTCCATGATACTGCCAATAATCCAATCTCTCCTGTCAGTGTTCTGAAAGGACTCACTTTGCCTCTTTTCAGTCTCACATTTCAGGACTTCAACCCGTAGTTTTACCTCCAACTGTAAAGTCAGGTCTGGTCCTGTTTCACTCAGAGGGCTATCACAGAAGTGGTTCAAATCAGTTTGAGGCCCTACTTAAAAGGTAACAGAGAGTGCTCAACCTACAAAGTTCTGGCACTTTACAGAAAAAGTGTCAATCAAGGATCTAAAATATAGACCAATCAGAGGCAGACTGTCAGGTTTTTCTTTGGTGACATCACTGAGTGAGCTTGAATGGTCAACTTTTCAGTGAGCTGTTGAGTGCTTAGCCATTTTCACCAACGTGGGATCCCTGACCTAAAACATAAGCAAGACTTCCAATTTTAGAAAACCGGTCAGTTTGAACCGCAAGGTCAGTAGTTCAAATTCACCAGTCACTCCTCAGAAACCCTATACAGGGTGTCACTATGAGTTAGAGACGACTTGATGGAACTTAACAACAACAATACATTAAAATATAATAAGTGTTTGGTTTTTAGTTTTATTGTGAATTATGTGATAGTTTACATGGGAGAACATTAATTAGCTTTACATCCACCCTATCGTATATCGTTTCATTGCCATGGTTACAATCCCCTCCATGCATCAACAACCAACCAAAGGATATATCCTGCAAGCCTGCCCCTCCGCCGGTCGTCAGCACGGTTGTCAGCACACAGCCCGTCTCGTCTCCCTCTCTGGGTCTAAGGTCCCCAGCCGTTCCATCTCTCCACATCACTGTCTCTGCCTCCATCTCTGGTGTCACTGCTCCTCTGCGTAGAGTCCTACACTCCACTCTTCTTCCTTGATGGTACCAGGGACCTCCGCTCTTAGACTGCAAAGTTAATCACTCCCCTCCTTTTGCTACAAAACATCTACCTTTACATTTCCAACCCTCACAATCAGTCCTGATAACAATTCAATTATTCACTATTGTATCACAAGAGACCTATCTGCATCTCCTTTCATCAGCCCCATCCAGACAGATTGGATACTACTACAGAAAAGGAGGTTCTACCTTCCTCCACGCTCTCTGGATCTAATAAATGTTTGTTTTAAGCATTTCTCCATACTTCATTCATCATTTCAGCTACTGCTCAGAGGTTAGCGTTGGTTATGTTGCAATAACAAAAGACCTCAAAATCTCAGTGACTAGTAACAACAAACTTCTTTTGCACTTCTGCGCTATATCCATCACTAAGCTCCCACATGTCTGTGGAGCTGTGGTTCCATGTCGATCTTTACTGTCGGAGCAAATCTGCTGGCCCAAGCTCTATCTGAAACACTGCTGAGCACTGCACAAAAGAGAGGGTATGATGAAGCACAAACTGCCTTTTAAAACATTTCTTTCAAAGTTATACCATAGTTTTTGCTAACTTAAGTAACTTCTTTAAGTTTGTTTGCTACCAGTTTTCTTCCTCTCTTCCCTAGGGAGGCAATTTTTGTAAAGCACTATGCAAATTTTTTCCCCTCAACATGTTAAAAAAAAAATGGCATGGTGACATTGATGTAAAATGCCTCCTGGGGGAGGGAGCAGTTGGCAAACAAACTTAAAGAAGTTTTTGTTTTAAAGAAGATGTGTGACGTGCAAAAACCTATTATTTCTGTTCACATCTTCTAGGCTAAATACAGTCAAGTGTGACAAACGTGTAGCAAAGCAAAGTTTAGTACCCCAAAATACAATCCACTAGAATCTGAACTGACTTGATGACACTTAACAACAGCACACACTCTATTTGGACTCCTGGTGTGGACTGTAGGATTAGCAGGGGCTATTAACCACAAGGTCGGCAGTTCAAACCCACCAGCAGCTTTTCAGAAACCCTATGCAAGGGGCACTATTAGTCAGAACAACTAGACCATACCTGAAAACTTAGTTAAGTTATGATAAAAGCTAAAATTATGTATAAATACAAAGTGTCACAGACCAACAAGATCATGAGAAGCTACCTAACCAATAACAGATAATCAAGGAGAAGTATAACAGAGACCTTGTGGATAAGGGTAAGTAGGTATTAGTAAATTGAGCTGTGGTGGTGGTGGTGTGCCCCGGAGTCGGTTCCAACTCACAGCATCCCTGATAGGGTTTCCAAAACTGTAAATCTTTATGGGAGCAGAAAGTTTCATCTATCTCCTGCAGAACAGCTGATAGTTTCGAACTGCTGACCTTGAGATTAGTAGCCTGACTCGTATCCCACTATGCTACCAGAGCTCCTGAAATCGAGCCATAGAGGGAGAAAATCAAAAACAAAAAACATCAAATTAAGACAAACACTTACATTCATTCCCTTCAAAAAATAAACTAAAATACTATATAAGGCAAAAGGAATTCTGAAGGCAGTAAAATCAGAGAGCCAACAGACTATGCAGATTAGAAAAACCTGAACTCTAAATTGGTTATGTGGAAGTCTAGAAAGAGGCTGCTTCATAACAATGAAATCAAGAAAAATAAAGGCACTGGGTACCTTCCAAAAGAGGATTTGTGGCTAAGTCTGAAAGTAGAAAGTTTATGGTTGAAATTCTTTATAAAAGGCAAATGAGATTTCCTAGATCTCTTCACCACTCACTGAAAAGACTAACCTACCGGCTCCTTCCAGATACTAGTCTCAATGACAACAGGCACTGTTTTTTGTTTTTCTCTTAGGGGAGTGGGACAGAGGTGAGGGAAGAATGAAGAGCAGAAAGGGAAACAGAACCAGTCCACACACTACCCCCGCCACCCTTAAGAGGGCCTATGGACAAAAGCACTTGGAGATTCACTAATGAAATTATCCTACCAGATAGATCCTCCTGACAGTGGAGCTCACAGTTTACAGCATCACCTGTGTCCAATGAGCTTCCAATCAGCTTTTTAAGCCTTTTAAAACTATATGTTTTAAACCTTTTAAAACTATATGTTTTAAACCTTTTAAAACTATATGTTTTAAACCTTTTAAAACTATATGTTTTAAACCTTTTAAAACTATATGGTGATGGTGGTTATGTGCCATAGAATCATTTTGACTCTTACCGACCTTGTATAAGGTTTCCAAGGCTATAAATCTTTACAGGAGCAGAAAGCCTCAGCATTCACCCATGGAGCATCTGTGAATTAGAGCTGCCAATCTTACAGTCAGCAGCCCAACTCATAACCCACTACGCTCTCAGAGCTCCTTTTACAAAACTCTATTCTTAGAGAAAAATTAAAACAAAAAGTGGAGTTGGATGGGGGAAAAGTGAAAGAATAGTATCTAATCAGGTTTCTATTTTTAAGATCATTTTAATACACATAAGTAAAATAAGGAGTCCTGGTGTGACACTGTGGATTAATGCACCAGACTGCAAAGCCATTTGAACTACAAGGCCGGTGGTTCAAGCTCACCAGTCACTCCTTGGAAACCCTATATAGGATCGCTATGAGTCGGAACCGACTCGACAGCACTTAACAACAACAGCAAGTAAAATAATAGACTTTCGGAACAAATAATTTTCAATCCTAATGAGAGTACATGCTAAAATAGCAAAAAGTACTTAACCTGTATAACCATTAACGTAGATGGCAACTCCACTAAAAATCGTAGATGAACTTCCATCCTTCTGCATAGCAGCATCTGACCGAAACTGTTCCTCCAATTTCTGGACCTTTGCAGCCATATACCCACCCTAGAAATAAAGAGAACGTTAACTAATTTCAAAAGTTACATTTTCTCCTCTTCTTTTCTTTAACTGTGGCAGCCACGTATATTTACAACAAAGCACTTACCATTTCAATTTTTACATGCACAATTTGGTGACATTAATTATACTGGTCCTATTTGGGAACCATCACTACTATCCTTTTCCAAATAGCTTTATTATCTTTAACAGAATATCAACACTCCCTAAGTCGAATGAATTTATACTTGATGGAGGAAGCTTATTCTGTGCTACTGACCAGGGTATAACAGTGACTTCCTTTACCCTTAACATGAATCACAAGGCCAGAAAGCCTGGAGGTCACAGAAGACTTGACCAGCAATTCCACGTTTAGTAATTCAATCACATTTATACAATGATAGAAGTTACTTTTAAAGAAGAAAAATTACTTTTAAAAGGTAGGTCAACAATAACAAATTAAAACCACAAAATAAAAAATTAATACCTATGTAATCTAGCAAAAGTTACACCAAAGTTTAAATTAGAAATCTGGCAAGCAGTCAATAAAAAGCCAAATAAAACAGACTGACTTTTAGTATTTCCTGTATAGATGCAGACAGACAAACGAACACAGGCCTCCTCACACATGGCACATGTGGCTGGGATTACAAGAAATGATCCGTCAATTCTGGATCTAATCAATCAACTTAATAGCAGTACTAATTTTCATCAGTAACACCAGCCTCAGAAAGAATATAAAAGTAGAACTGTTTTTAGTAAAGGCCTTAGAGATCTGTGAATACAACTATACCTTTACTGTAACTTGCCATATTTTTTCAGGAAATATAGAAGAAAATTAAAATTGGTTGTGATCCCATTCATTGTTAATATTTTGGGATGTTATTTTCAAAGTTTATTTCTATGTTTCAGAGCAAGGAGGTTTTATAAAAATAGGATAATATAATATTCCTTTATAACATAGTCTTCAGTCGAGAACATCTTCACGGGTTAAGAAATATAAAGCTAAATATAAAGAGATCCAAAAAGCGATCGTTTATTTTACCAATCACCTACTGTTCTTTGGTATTACTAGCAATGTTGCAACAAAATTATTATAATTTTTCCTCAGGATACAATTCTTAAAGTCTGAAGTTATACATGAACATTCTAAGGCTTTTAATATATTAATCTCCACTTGGGTAAACAAATAAGCTAATATCTAAAGTGATTTAGAAATTAGAAAATGTCTTAAAATAAGAATGAAAAATACCTAGAACGCTCAACACAATTATTTTTTAATCTTTTAAAACACACCCATTTTTGCCAGCCATCATTGTCAGCTCGTTTCCTCCATCCACCTCGCCGCATGGTGGAGCGTCTGTATTTGGGGGGGAGAAAAAAAGTCAAATTTATACCAAAATGTACTTTTAATTGATATTTTAATGTCATAAAAATGAGAATTAATATAAACTCAAATGTTCAATTCACATGAAAGTTCAAATTAACAATTTTGAGTAACTGTCACAAAATATTGTATACATTATTTCCAAAGTGTATCATTCTCTTGCTTTAGAAGTATAATTTGTTCCTACAGACACCTTACTAGAGAAGGGTCAAGTTCAAATATAACTACTTTAAATTTCAAAAAGGACTATTTTTACACATTCTTGAGCACCAATCCTAACATTCAGTTACATAATCACCACCAAATCCCACTAACACTGTTAGCATTTGTAAGTGTAGCAAAATCTAACAATGCATTTATTTCCCTTCATGATATGCCTCTTTAAAGGAGCATATCATGGCTTTGGGCTGCTAACCATAACGTCAGCAGTTCAAATTCACTAAATACTTCGAGGGAGAAGCTCCCATAAAGATCTGCAGTCTTGGAAACCTTACATAGGCTTACTAGGAGTCAGAACCAAATTGATGGCAGTGGGTTTGGTTTGGGTTTTATGGCTCTTTCCCATTATACACCAAACACGTAACTGTATAATTTTAATGTAGTTCATGAATTGTGAAAAGAAGAAACCAAAACAATACCTAATAGGAGACATGACACAGAAAGAGTATCACTAATATAAACTAGGAAATTCTTAAGACAACAGTTGGCCAACTACACTATAAAGTCACCAAGATGCCTATAATGCTATATTTTTTGTGTCAACTTGCAAGACATTATGCTGCCGTCCAGTTGTTTGAACAAACACTAGTCTAGATGTGGCTGTTAAAGTATTCTGTAGAATACTTTAACAGCCACATCTAGCATTTACAATCACTTGACTCCAAGTAAAGCACTTAATTATGCTTGATAATGTGGGTGGGCCTCATGCATTCAACTGAAGATCTTAAGAGGAAAAACTGAGGTTTCCCAGACAGAAAGAATTCTGCATCAAGATTGTAAACAGAAATCTTGCCAACGTTCCCAATCTACCACCAGACTGCTAATCGCAAGGTCAGAAGTTCAAACCTATCAGTTGCTCCTCGGAAACCATATACATGAGTCAGAAGCAAATGGACAGCACTTCACAACAAGCATACGAGTCAGTTCCTTAAAATAAATGTCTATTTCCGTATACACACACACAATGAAGGCTCTAAATAAAATTCCTTCTAACCAAAATGTCTAGATTTTAGGACATGACATCATTATCCTTTGCAAATTATGATTCACATTCAGATAGTTTTCTTCTATAACGAATAGGTTAACAGCTAATGGTTGAGACTTAAATAAACTTTAACATAGTTTATGAAAATCCTTTATTGAAAAATATGCCACATCCTTTTACACGAATCAGCACAGATTTTCTTTCAAATATTTTTATTCTTAGTATTTTATTTCACGTCTACTCACTGACATTAAGATTAACTGTGAATTTTCATTGTCTACTCTTAACAATGTGCAGAGACAACATTCTCAGAGGCAAGTGCAGTGAAGATTGTTCTAGGAGCATGTGCAAAGTGTTCTATGAACAAGGGCAAACTGACCAACTCTGATTAGGTACTGTGGATGCTGGAGTGCAAAGTTTTTGCTTAAATATGGTCAAGAGAGAACCACGACTGGCTACTCAATATACTCTAGAAAGACTATATTTTATTAAATATTTCTTCTCTTTCCAGTAGGTTTCACTTTGTTCAGTCTCTCAAGGGATCTAGGAAAGGTGTTCACACAGTTTATCACTTCATATAAATTCTGAACACATATCCCAGCTCTTACAATGTAAGTTTGAGAGTTCTGTCCATTATACTCTAAGAAAGTATATGTATAATAAATACAAGTATTAGTCTACTAAACAGAAGGTAAATGAAGGAATAAAATGTATTTTTTAAAGTTTCATTCTTTTTTTTCACTCATGTTATTAAGAGTCCCATTTATTTAAGAGCTATATTGAGTATTTTGGAGTCCTGGTGTGGCGCTGTGGGCTAATGCATCAGACTGTAAAGTCGTTTGAACTGGAAGATCGGTGGTGCAAGCTTACCAGCTGCTCCTTGGAAACCCTCTACAGAGTTGCTATGGGTTGGAATTCATTCGACAGCACTTAATAACAACAATTGGGTACCTACTACCAAAGACCAACATGAAAAATCTCTATGGTTTACTGAGGAAAGACAAGCATGAAAGCAAAGTTGGCCAATAAAAAAAAAAAAAAAAAAAAAGGTACTAAAGATCATGCCCTATCACAAACCAATAAGGCTATCCCAGCCAAATGCTTAAAGCTTTGCAAAGTTTAAGAAAGAATCAATGACTGAAAATTGCAATTTCATCACTTCTACTAATGTGACTCATGCACAGCAAACTTCAATTGATCCAGAATTCAAATAATTAAAAGACCCCCCCCAGACCAAAAGGAAACCAGAAACTTTTAATTTATACACTCCAAAATGCTACTTTTGACAAAATGCCATAACAGACCGTAAACTAGGTAATTTGAACAAGCCCTCGTGCTGAGGAAGACGACAAAACTTCTATACTTAATTATCTTGAGATATAGAAAGTCTACCAAACAGTGGAAAATTACAGGTCAAGATTTAGTTGTTGTCATTAAGGGCTGTCAAGTCAGTTCTGACTAGTTCTTAAGTGCCACTGAGTAGATTCTGATTCATAGCGACCCTGGATAAGGATTTCCAAGAGCAGCTGATGAGTTTGAACCGCCTACCTTGTGGTTCAAACCAATCTTATGGTCCAATGCTTAGTTCCACAGTGTGGCACTGTGAGTTAAGGAGCTGGACCACAAAGTCAGTTTGAACCCTAGTGAAAATGATGGATTTAGTTAATAATAATAACAACATATCACTACCCTGGTGTGGTGCTGTCAAACAAGCACTGGACTGCTAACTGCAAGGCTAGCAGTTCAAACCCACCAGCCACTCCTTAGAAACCCTCACAGGGTTGCTATGAGTTGGAACAGACTCAATGGCACTCAATAACAACAACACTGGCTCAACAATTAGAACAAATGTATCACATCAATGCAAGATATGTGGATAACAGGAGAAACCGGGAAGGGGGAGAGAGTGTATATGGTAATGTGGTACTTTCTGATTAAGTTTATTAAAAATGTAAAACTGCTCTAAAATATAAAGAATATTAACTAAAAAAAAAAAAAAAGACTAAGAAGAAAAGATTGGAATAAGGTGGGTGTTTCCCGCATAACATGGATGAACCTTGAGGGCATTATGTTGAGTGAAATTAGTGAGTCACAAAGAGAAATACTTCATAGGGCCACTACTGTAAAACACTAAAGGAAAGAACCCATACTAAAGGGGGGTGGGGGTATTCTTTGTTGATTATTGGGATGTTGGCGGTGGGTGAGGGGATGGAGGGGAAGGTGGAGCACAGGGCAGGGATTAGACACAGG